AATTTATTTCTATTTTGGTAATACCAAAAGACACTGATATGGTTTTTGAGAATTTATTGGGGAAATGCAATATTATGTTACGTGGTAATAAACTTAATGTAAAAATAGCTATCAAACAACTAATTTATAATACATTTATTTTATTAATAATTATTAATTACTTTATTTTATTTTTTATTTTCTTATGCTGTAACAATAATTTAATCAATCTGACCAAACATATTTTGTAGTTCATCAGTTGTAACTTATAAAATGATTAAATACAGTTAACTTTTTTTTTTGTATTAGCATTAACCAAATATTGTACGCACAACACATTTATTTATTTGCTATTAATAATGTGATAACATTTATTTAAAGTAAAAATAAATATTGTTCTACTGGAACAGTCTAAAAAAAATGTATTTTTAATAAAAACTAAAATATATTGTTCAATGTATTATTGCAATCAAATAAACTTAAACTAAAATAAWATAATCTTTTTAAAGATAAAGAATAATTAGTTTCCATTTAGAAATTAAAAGAAATATAATTTTTTATATTTTATATATATTTCAATGTTGTAATTAAACATTAATATTGCATATTTTTTTATTTTAAGAACCCGAATGTGTTGTTGTTAAAGATTTATGTTTACAATTTTTACTGACGATTGTTACTGGCACCGACAACCTCAATGAAAATCCAGCTCTATGCCATTTGATGACTAACAGTGTTTTTGAACCTTTGACAGAAGTACAAATTAATATGATTAATTAAAAAATGACTTACTTATATAAATATTTTTTAGGTTCTTTCAAATAATATATACCAAACATATCATGGCTATGATTCTATTTTGCTCTTGACATTACTTATGAATGTTGAAACTGCTAAGAAGACAAATCCATATGTTGTCAAATTATCATTGTTAGACAAAGAAGATACTTTAAATGGTTATAGTCAGGTAATAATAATACATTATAATACTCATTAAAGTTAATTGTTTTTTTAAAACAGTAATTGAATTATACATTAAAAAGCTTTCTAGAAGAATTTTAAAACCAACTTTAATGGTGGCAATATAGTTCAGTTGTGATGTGGTGTATATACATATAGTATTTTTACTTTAGAGTTATAAAGGTTGTCAAACAATATTTAATAATGCAAGTGACTTATATTATTATGGTTTTTATTAAATACATGATGATTCTTTTATCGCAATACTCATTGTTTTTGAAAATATTTTTTTGTGTGGCTTACTCCGGCTTACTGTTTTAGTTTTATAAAACAACAGGTTTACATTTTTCAGAGCCATTATAAATTTGTATTTTCAGTATAATATTATATACTATTGAATTT